TATAGGAATGCGCTGCTACCACATTCAATCGCCCTCTAGTGTTTAAGGCCAGCTTTAAAGTGTGTGCATGCTTGATATGTTATTCCAGCCCTTTAAACCTGTGTTTGATTTAAGTCTCCACTTTGTTGAGGATAGATTCATTTTACAAGTGTTACGATCAGGCCCTTGATATGAATGCAAGTGTTCTATACACCACACGGAGCTGCATATCTAAGAGCAGGATATACATAAATAAAAAAATCCTAAAAAAAATCCTCAAGGGTGCCCAGATTTTTACAATGCCTAGCCATCACATGCATTATACGGCCTGGTTGGAATAAAATGTATAGCCAGGCACACTCATGTCATAGGTACAAACATGTCTATCCCCCACTTAAAAAAAAAAAAAAGCCACACGATCAGATTGCATACAGACATCCCACCTCCATCTTGCGCCCTTATCCCCTTTCATAAATCACCCTCCAACTGTCATTATTCTTCCCCTAGTCAAACTGTACGCACAGCCCCTCAAAGACCACCTACAAGTTGAAGCAAAACAGAAGATGATGGGTTGAAAAAAAGACCTCTCTGGATTGAATTCCCAAACATTTCCCAGAAAGCTCAGAAAAAAATGTTTTGCATTTGCAACTGCCGCTAGAAAGCGTTCGGCAGGCCAGGGGTTAAACGGCTGCAGGGAATAACCCTTAGACAGATCTGTGCCATGTGTTTAGTGTCTGTGTGGGAAGAGCTCCCTACTAGGAATCTTGAGTCAGCAGTTAGCAGAATCTGCGTGCATGTTTTATCTGTGACACTCACAGTGTAACAAGCATGCTCTGTGCAGACACGTCACAAGAGCTCACAATCCTTATACAAAGCAGCACTTCAAAGGGCAGTGAAAACAAGCGTTTTCCTAGAAATGAATTAGCCAAGAGGCCCTCAATCCACTCTCTCTCACACACACATAGGCTCTCAGATCAGCCACAGTTCAAGTTACACACAGCCTCGGGGAGGCAGACGGAGAGAGCAGCGGTTCATTTACAGGGAAGAGGTGGGATGCCGACCAATTTCCTACCTGCCCCTTGAAAAATACTGCCATGCAATGTGTGCGTGTCACCTATGCACCCTTGGCAAATGAGTTGCATAAAGTAGAAAGGTAGCCAAACCTTTACATTAAAATGTATGTAATGGAGAATCTCTCTGTACTGAATGGTCACCGGGGCAAATAGGGCTGATCTCCCCAGAGGGAACAGAGACAGCAATAAAAACCTAACAGGGAGTATAAAGCCCAATTGAACTTTTAGATTAAATCAGCTAAATACATTCCAGGTGCATCAAAACAAAAAGGTGTTCAAAGCCTTATCGTTTCCTTTCATTAGAAAGCAACAACAGACTGAGCAGAAGAGCCTGTCCCCTACCAGTATGCTGCAGAGTGGCACCCATGGTCTCTGTCTGGAAGCAGTGGTCTCTTAGTAGAGGTCTGACACTCCCCCTGCTGAGCCACACCTATAGCTCTGCAATTAACAAAGCTCATGCCCTCTGCTGATTGGAGAACTTTAGCTCTGACTCAACAAGGGTGTGTCAGAACTCTGCAGAGAGACAACTGCTTCCACAGAAAGAGTAAGGGTCCATCCATACAGCATGCTGGCAGGGGACACACATTTTTCTACTTAGGCTGTGGCTACTTTCTAAAGAAAACAAACTGTAAGACTTTGCATGCCTTTTGTTTTGATGCACAGGGAATGTATTTAGCGGATTTAAACTCAAAGCTCAGTTGGTCTCGTACACTTCCTCAATAAAAAATACGTTTTGGAAGGAGATACACTTTAAATTTTAAATAAAGCTGGGAACCTCTAGCAGGTTTTTATCACTCTTTATGTCTCTGTTAGGGCTTGTGCTGGTCATTTAGCACAATGCATGAGCTCCACTTGCAATGGGCTGCATTAATCGCAGGTAGAGTGCCCCCGACCTGCTGCATCTAGGAATTACTGAACCCTACAGGGGCTGCTCCCACAATGTGCACCTTTACCGGTATGTGAACAGGAACGAGATGCCATCTAGTGAGTTTGGAAAAACAGGCTGACCGAAGCTCGATGCAGGCGAGGCTCGGACATCCACTTAAAAGTTGGTTGCCATCACCAGAACAGGATATTATTATGAGGGATGCGCCGATACCAATACTATTATCAGTGGCGTTGCCGAGTATTTGGGCGAGTACTTGTACTCGCCCAAATGCTCCGATGCCTAGCCCGATACTTTCTGTATCAGGAAGCTGGGCAGCACATCATTACACGCTGCCTGGCTTCCTGATTGGCCAGGACGCTGGCTCCATGCTTCCTCGTCACTTGTGTGTGTCGCTCCCTCCTGTCCCTATTGTACTGAAATCGTATTGTAACTATTCTGTCTCCCCCATTTTGTAAAGCGCTGCGCAAACTGTTGCCGCTATAAAAATCCTGTATAATAATAATAATATACAAAAGGTGTCAAAACAGAAGGTGAACCAAAACCTTCTAATGAGGATTCTGACAGCAGTAAAAACCTAACAAAGACACTGACCCTCCCCAAAATATTTGTCTAGATTTCTACTTAAGTGGCCAGCAGCACATCAACATTTTGCACCAGTTGTATATGATTAAAGCAATTGTGTTTTCATGCAGGTAGTATCCCTTTAAGAAAGTAATGTATTCAAAGCATTTCCCAGTTAAAGGATACTGTTACTACTATTACTAATAATTGCACCTATTTTGCTTTAAAAAAAATGATCTGCAATTTTCACTAGCAGCCAAATGCAATAAACTCTATAGAAGCCTTGATCACAGTTTAATTTTTTTGGAGGCAGAATCTGCTAGACACATTTTAACCTTCGCTACGTTTACATTTTTGATTAAATGCCCGCGGCTCTGCCGCCCCCCAGTGGCCGATGTGTAGAACAATGCTAGCGTCAGCGCTGACTTCCCTGCACAGATGATTGCTGATCTGTCTTCTTTTTCTCCCCACTCCTAATCTATTTCCTCATTCCCAGACTAGATACAGCAAACCATCACTATCCACAGCTTGGTCATATTTAAAGCCACTGCTCATTAACCAGGAGCCACAATCATCATCAACCTGCAATCCTCACCCTAAAACCCCCTAAAGTCATCACTTATCCAAAGTCACCCTCTGTAGATTCAATCTATAGGTTTCAGTATGCTCTTGCCTGTCAGGACATGTCCCAGCACTGCTGAGCTTAATGGAGTCAATGTCAGTCAGTTAAGGGTTAACCCAAGCAAGGAAAACATGAACAGATGACTCTCCTAATTGAGACAAATTACAGCGATTACGTCATTGTGATGCAACATTCATTACCTAGGCATGCATCTGTATATGCGCATTAATACATGCATGCAGCTCTATGTACTTTAAACGTTGCAATTACATGATAAAGTTATCGTGTTGCATTGGATCACTACAACGTTTTTCACTAACCAAAAGGAGGAAATGACACAGATATAGTTCTCCTAACTGGGACAAGTTAAAGCGATGACATCATTGTAACTACTCTGTGATGTCAATTTCATTGTATAGGCATGTATCTGTACATCAATACATGCATACATACATAGATTAATAAACGTGCATACAGATCTGTGAGCGTTTAAACTGAAATAATAGTTAAAATGTTTCAGGATCAGCATTTGCCAAGTCACTACTTCTAGGCTGTCGGTGACCCCCAAAGGAGCATTGCTAACTATCAACTACACAAATAAAAATCGTTGCATTTGCAATCGTTGCAGTTCGCTTTATCAGTATATTTGTTTTGTTTCATCATTTGCAATCACAGGTTCCCTGATCAGTTTATGCAGTCAGATGACATGTCACTCCTGCGAGGCTGTCGGTGACGTCACAGCTCCGATGCTATCGGGTCTATGTACTTTGAAAGTATCAACTGAACTACACATGCCTTACATGTACACTACTCTATATTCAATAAACAGTATTCTTGTTCTTTCATTATTTATGTTCATTTATGATCACGGATCCCCTGATCGATCTGTGCAGCCTATATGCAGGCTATGTGAGGCTGTCGATGACGTCACAGCAGCAATACTAACAGGTCTATCCTTGCTGGACTGCCAGTGACTGGGGGGGGGGGTCTCTCTCCTAGCAGACTGATTGAAGGATTGACACTTCCTGGTACGGAAGGCGGGTGTATCATGCACTGTCCCATCCCCTACTCAATGTTGGGTTACCTGTATCCTCCTGCACTGCCCCATCCCCTACTTAATGTTGGGGTTACCTGTATCCTATTGCACTGCCCCATCCTCTACCCGATGTTGGGGTTATCTGTATCCTCCTGCTTTTCCCCATCCCCTACTCAATGTTGGGGTTACCTATATTCTCCTGCACTGCCCCATTCTCTACACAATGTTGGGGTTACCTGTATCCTCCTGTGCTGCCCCATCCCTTACCCAATGCTGGGACTACCCTTCCTGCGCTGCCCCATTCCCTTCCCAATGTCAAGTTTACCTGAATCCTCCTGCACTGCCCCATCCCCTACTCAATATTGGGGTTACCTGTATCCTCCTGCACTGCCCCATCCTCTACCCAATGTTGGGGTTACCTATATCCTCCGGTGCTGCCCCATCCCCTACTTAATGATGGGGTTACCTGTATCCTCCTGTGCTGCCCCATCCCCTACTCAATGCTGGGGTTACCTGTATCCTCCTGTGCTGCCCCATCCCCTACTCAATGCTGGGGTTACCTGTATCCTCCTGTGCTGCCTCATCCCCTATTCAATGATGGGGTTAGCTGTATCCTCCTGTGCTGCCCCATCCCCTACTCAATGCTGGGGTTACCTATATCCTCCTGTGCTGCCCCATCCCCTACTCAATGATGGGGTTACCTGTATCCTCCTGTGCTGCCTCATCCCCTATTCAATGCTGGGGTTACCTGTATCCTCCTGTGCTGCCCCATCCCCTACTCAATGTTAGTGTTACCTTTCCTCACGCACCTCCCCAAACCCTATCCAATGTTGGGGTTACCTGTATCCTCCTGCATGACTGGGCTGTGCTGCGGCAGCTCCTGTTTTTGCATCTTAGTTGCTCCATTTTGCACTGGTGTGATCAGCTCCGGCAGGACTGGGAATGTCAAAGTTTTCTTGTGGTTCCTCTGTACTGGGTGATGGCAGTGAAAGGATCGCTGTGGTAGTGCTGGATGTTGCAGGATGGCTCAGAATAAGGACGCTGCTGCTGGTGATAAAAAGCTCCGATATTCTTCTTAGCTGCTCCAATCCTAGGGAGACAGGCTGAGAAGGCAGACTGCCCTTTCTTTTTTTTTTGTTTCAAGAGCGAACCTGACACGAAGCCTGACAGCTATTGTTTTCACTTAATTCACAAGTTTGTCCTGACACTGTGCTGGTGGCTGGGAAGGTATGACTTTACTGGACCCCTGCTCTGTCCTGCCGGAGGTGCTACTCGGCCTGACCACAGAGCAAGGGACAGGCTGCTCAGGAAAAAGGAGACTGATCAAGGAATCAATAGTGAGGACTTCAGTGTGCCAGTGTGTCTGATGAGAATCATCCAGGAAGGCACATTCATCATGTGTTCATTGGAGAATACTAAGTCCACCATATCACATGTATTCTTCTAATGCACTGTTGTTTTATAATTAAACTGTGTATGCATAATAACAAATATTATTAATAATAATAATGTGTATATGTAGTTTCTTATTGTAGCACACTTTTTATTTAGAAAGACTCATCATACAATGTAGCATAGCTGTGCTACATTATATGCCGAATCTTTCTAAATAAACATTTTGAGAGAGAGAGAGAGAGATGGGGGGCATAGAGAGAAAAAAATATATAGAGAGAGAGATAATATAAAGAAAGAGATATAGACAGATAGACAGACAGACAAAGATAGAATGATAGATAGCTAGATAGATAGATAGATAGATAGATAGATAGATAGATAGATAGATAGATAGACAGGCAGACAGACAGATAGACAGACAGACAGACAGACTGACAGACTGACAGACAGACAGACAGACAGACAGACAGACAGACAGACAGACAGACAGATAGATAGATAGATAGATAGATAGATAGATAGATAGATAGATAGAAAGATAGAAAGATGGAAAGAAAAATAGACAGAAAGAAATATAGATAGACAGAAATATAGATAGACAGACAAGACAAATACACTTATTGGTATTAAAGATAGATGAAGATGAGAGAGAGAGAGAGAGAGAGAGAGAGAGAGAGAGAGAGAAGCAGGTTAGTGCAGTAACTATATTATCTCGCTCTCTCTCTCTGTCTCTCATCTATCTTTAATACCAATAAGTTTATTTATCTTGTTTGTTTATCTATATTTCTGCCTGGCTGTCTATTTGTCTTTCTTTCTTTCTTTCTTTCTCTCTCTATGTATGTGCAGGTGAAACTCGAATAATTAGAATATCATGCAAAGTTCATTTATTTCACTAATGCAACTTAAAAGGTGAAACTAATATATGAGAGAGACTCATTACATGCAAAGCAAGATAATTCAAGCCGTGATTTGTCATAATTGTGATGATTATGGCTTACAGCTCATGAAAACCCCAAGAACCCCAAATCCACAACCTCAAAAAAGTAGATTATTACATGCAATCAATAAAACAAGGATTGTACATAGAACAATATCGGACCTCTGAAAAGTACAAGCATGCATATGTACTCGGTACTTGGTTTGGGCCCCTTTTGCAGCACTTACTGCAATTACTTTTGCACGATATTCTAATTAATCGAGTTTCACCTATATATCCCTATTCATATCTCTCTCTCTCTCTCTCTCTCTCATCTATCTTTCTTTAATATCTATCTATCTATCTATCTATCTATCTATCTATCTATCTATCTATCTATCTTTCTATCTATCTATCTATCTATCTATCTATCTACGGTATCTATCTACGGTATCTATCTACCTATCTATCTATCTATCTATCTATCTATCTATCTATCTATCTATCTATCTATCTACGGTATCTATCTACCTATCTGTCTATCTATCTATTTATCGAAACACAGGTTGGTGCAGCACCTTTTACTGCCCTATCCAGTACACAAAGTATATAGCTTTCCCTGCATCCATAGATGATGACCGCAGCACACGTAGAGAGGGATGCTGATTGATCATTTATTGCTTATACTTAATCCCACAAGCTTTCACTGGTGATCATTATCACTTGATAAAGGCTGCAGGATGTGGTCAAAGCTTGTGGTATATGAAGTCAGCATGCTCATCTACTTTGGCTGTGGTCACTTTTCCAGATAGACAGACGGACATTTAAAGGAGAACTATGGGGTCAGTGTTTTTCCCTATAGTTCTCCTTAGGGTAACGGGAGGACACAAACTAGCGTCCTCCCGTTACCCTAAGCTCAGTAAACCGCGAGCTATACTGAGACGCCGCAGCCGGAGCGGATCCCGACGTAGATGACGGGATCCGCCCAGCTGCGTGAGTGACAGCTGGCTCTGCCTATCTAGAGGCAGAGCCAGCTGTACCTGCCCCCTCCCCCGTCCGTTCCGCCAGTCAGCGCTGGCAGATCGGAGCGGGGAGAGGGGAATCCAGCCCCTCCCCCTGTCACGGCAGAGAGCCGTGACAGGATCGAGAGGTGAGCGAACCTGGTATGTGTTCGCTCACCTCCCGATCTACTGAGCCAACCTGTGACAGTCTCATTGTCACAGGTCCGCTAGAACTATGAGGTGAGTGGAAATCACTCATGTCATAGTTCTCCTTTAAATACTTTTTATAAGACTTGAATCCACAATATCATCTCACTCTGCCTGGCCAGCAAAATCCAACTGACTTTCCTGTCTCCTGCGCAGACGCCTTTCAGCTCTCATGGACGCACATGGTCACACTCAGTGGTCGATCTCTGGTTTGCGGCTCACTATGGATGATCAGTTAACAAATAACTAGAGTTCTCTCTGAATTATTTTCAACACTTTTAGGATATCAAAAAAATGGTGCTAAATCCAAAAGAAATCAATCCAAAAGAAACCCATCTACTTCCCAAATTTAATGATATCTAGTTTGATGGAGGTACACCCTAAGGTAATAAAATAAATATTTGACATGGTTTTATTAAATTGATTTGAATGTATATTGCCTGCTCCTGCAATGGAAAAGAGCTTTATAAACAGTGCATGTCTATGTATGCTTGCCACCACTTGTGCACCGTAACAGCAACATTTTCCACAGATTCATCAAAAATTTCTAGCGGAAAGTAAGAAGGATGCCTGTGCTTGTATCTGCACAATACAGAGGCTGCACATACATACACATGAAGCAGGCAATTCTGACCAGATGAATGTGTGTTTAACTTTAATATGTATAGTCTGAAAAGCTCATGTATTTCACGAGCATACAATGAATATTGCACCAGTCAGGGTAAGACAGCCCACTGTCCCAAATTAAACCCCAGGGAATCAGATCAGAGAGAGCAATCAATATCCATAGACGTGTGTGTGTGTGTGTGTGTGTGTGTGTGTGTACATATTGAGTGTGTATAGAAAATGTGGATTGATAACCATATAGCTGGTCAAATAAATAGATAGATAATTAGATGGATAGATATATAAATAGAGAGAAAAATAGACAAAAAGAGAAGAATCAATAAATAGATAGATAGATAGATAGATAGATAGATAGATAGATAGACAAAAGATAAAGTGAAAAAGAATAAATGAAAGAAGGAAATATTGACAAATAGAGAGGAATAGATAGATAGATAGATAGATAGATAGATAGATAGATAGATAGATAGATAGATAGATAGATAGATAGATAGAGATAGATATGTATGTATCAATATAGACATACAGGTGAAACTCGAATAATTAGAATATATGCTTCTTGCGTGTATAGAACGAGAGAGAGAGAGAGAGAGAGAGAGAGAGAGAGAGAGAGAGAGAGAGAGAGAGAGAGAGATAACTTATGAGAGATAGATCAATATATAGATAGCTAGATAAAAAGAGAGCGAAGGGTAGATAGATAGATAGATAGATAGATAGATAGATAGATAGATAGATAGATAGATAGATAGATAGATAGATAGATATGAATAGGGATATACATACATAGAGAGAGAAAGAAAGAAAGAAAGAAAGAAAGAAAGAAAGAAAGAAAGAAAGAAAAAAAAAAGAAAGAAAGAAAGAAAGAAAGAAAAAGATTTAGTAAAATGTTTAATTGTAGTATCTAATTCTAGGCATATTTCTCCTGAATCATTTTTATGAGGTTAGTTAATAAGCATAACACACTGGTAAATAATTAAAACCTGCTTTTGCAAATTTACAAACAATTGTCCTGACTCCAATAATAAATTAAAAAAACACATGAATCCCACATTAAATATAGAAGCTTCTGCTTCACATAGTCATTTAGTAAAGCAGTAATATGATTTGAAATGATTTGTGTTTTCTTTAAACATACAATAACATTTCTTTTCACATTTGCCTTATTGTGCACTTTTCCCACTGAAGTCAGATTCAGAAATATGACAGTATCTGATATTTCTTGTAGATAATATGCTATTTTTAATCCATTATCTTCACTTTGAACTCAGTATACATTTTCTTTGTACATTTCTGCAGGTGATGCATTGCAAATAATTTATCCTAAAGTTCATCAATTATGCATTTCTATTTGTTAGTTTACAAGATAAGCCATCATACAGAGGAATGGTATACACATACGAGACAGGAAAACTTTTGGCAAGTATGTGAGGGCTCTTTTTCTCTCTTTTTATGTAGTAAACTGATGATGGAAATAGAAGGAAATGCTGAATATCACAATAGAGAATAATATACTAAACATTGACTTAACTTGTGTCACCAGATATTAGTATATTTACAGCTTATCCCAGCTATTCTTTATAAACATGCCTTCTAGTGTATTTCACTAAAGCTGAATGAATTGCCCAAATCCATTTGACAACTACAAGTAAAGTAAAAATGACCTTGTTGGACAAGCACTCCAAGACCTATAAAGTATATAACCTGTATTACTTTTAGGAAACAGATTTAAAAGCTTAAAGAGTGAGGCACTGGGGCCGATTTACTAAAGGAGTAGCAAATTTTTACTTTTGCAAAGTACATGTTAGCT